CTGCAGCTCCTCCCACGCTGTCTGCTACTTATTCCTCTCACTTCATTTACCCACACACGGGCTGCAGCCAGCTTTCCAAGCTTTTCCATCCCGAAGGGAAGTGCAGGGAAAAGCTTTTCCTCCGTCCTCCCACCTACACTTGTTAGAAATTGGGGTTTTTTTGACCCCGTTACAGCAAACACGGTGACGCTGTCTGCTGTGGGACCAAGGACGCTAACCACGTGGGGCACCAGCCTGAACTTTAACTCCTGGAGCATTTTTGCCCTCCTTTTGTTGTTTTAAATGACATATATCTGAGCTTTTGAGCTGGGAGTGCTCCCTTTGTGGGCTGGGGATTGGTCCCTCGGGTTGTGGCACCCTCGCTGCTGGGACATCCAGAGTGTGTGGAACGGGAGGTTGGGATGCAGTGGGTGCTCCAAGTGGGCTGTTTCCTCACTTTTTTTTCTGACAGATACATCAAGGAACCCCTCCTTCTAAACTTTGTGGGTTGTTCCACGTTAGCACTTGAGATTAATTAAATCTTCCTTTCAGGAATCGTCTGCATCCCTGTAGGGACAGATGGAAAAAGCAACCTGTGAAGGACAAATTGCTTGGTTAATAATTACTTTCTTGCTCATGTTTTTCAGGCTGGATTTTGATGATGACGGAGAAGGGAACAGTAAATTCCTCAGGTGAGGGAGCACGTTGCATCCAGAGGTTCCCCTTGTGTGGTCCTGGTGTGTTTCCCCTGGAGCAGGCCCTGCTGCTCCTGTGGCTTTTCCTCTCCAGCAGCGCGGGGGGAGCCTGAAGGAGGCAGTTGCTCCTCTTCCTCAAGTTCTCCCCTTCCTCCTCGTCAGCAAATATTCCTTCCCTCCAAGCTGCTGTGCACGTGGGGGCTGCGAACCCGGGGAAGGGGCTGTGGTGGGAGGGGATCCCCTTACTGGTTTGGATGGAGGCTCCATCCCAGGCCTCCCTGGTGGTGAGACGAGCTGAAGGGAGCCTCGTGAGCCCCAACTCCGTGGTGATGTTGCTGTGGTGGATACCAACATCTCCAAAGATTAAATAGTTTCTGTGAATGCTTCCAGCCCTGGTGGGTTGTTCCAGCCCGGCGCTGTGGGAGCCTTGCTCTGGCCAAAAGAAGAATCTTCTGCCAAAGGGCTTATCGGCCCCGCGGCGCGATGCTGAGCTTTTGGTGGGGCCTCAGACACGCGTCCCTTCATTCTCATCTGTTGTGAGGATGCTTCAATTACAGAGACATCCTTACTCCCCAGGAGCTGGCGGGGCTGCAGGCGTCTCCTCTCCCCACCCATATGGAGCCCAGAAGGGTTGGAAGAGCTCGCAGCATTTATTTGTAGTCTCTCTACATGATTTAGGGCAGGACAACTCAAATGATATCGCAGGTCCAGACCTTCCAGGCTGTTAAAGCTGACCACGGGGTGGCTTTTAAATTACTGAGTGCGATGCCGCTGTCCTTGATAGGAATGTGATGTGGAAAAGGTCATCAAAGCAATAAAAATAATTAAACTGTAGTCTTTTAACTGGATAGATGCAGGGTGTGGTTCTGGATTGCCTGCGCACAGCAGGGTTTGCCTTTTTAACACCAGCCCTTTTTTGGGTCATTTATTAAACCTTGTTCTCTTGATTCTTTGGGCAAGAAGTAAGTGGAGACGCTTTAAGAACTCCTCTTCCTCTCCCCCTTCTCCTAGATGCGATGATGACCCGATGCCAAACGATAAGGAGAGATTTGCCAGGTAAGAATCTGCCCCGGTGCCGTTTTTGAAGCTTTTGGTGCCAACCCACCTTAGTGTAGGAGAGATCCTGCAGCACCCTTTAGCCCTTAGATTGTCTCCCTTCGAGGGAAGGTGCACCAAAGGATCCAAACATTTTCCTTCATGTTTTTATGGACCAGTTTGTTGTGAAATTATGTTCTTCTTTTTTAACGTCTCTTTCAGCTTGGACTCTCCTTCTTTTCTCCTGCTCAAGAGACAAGTTTTGTGTTTAGTTCAACTTTTACTCAAAACAGGGTTTCCTGGCAAATGTTGTGGTTTGTGTGTTTTGGGGGGGAGTTGGGGAAGAAGCTCTCCCTGTGAAAGGGGTTTTCCTGGAGATCGGGGTGTACGGAGATGTTCTAGGGCAGCACGTGGGCTCCCGTTGTTTATTTGTGAGTGTCTGAGAGTAGTTCTGTCCCTTCTAGTGCTGGGACTGGCCTCACGCCATTCCAACAGCTTGCTGAAGGCCGTGGAACTCAATTTAAATATTTCATGGGTTTATTTTGTGTTGAGGTGTAATGGTTTTGCCAAAGTGAAGTTCTTTTATGTATATTCCAGGGTGTCCCCTCAGCACGTCGTGCTGTGTCTTGCTGAGAGATAAAGTGAGCAAATATGGAGTAATGGCCAAGAGGCTGCATTTAATGCCTTGTCTTCAGGAGGGGCTTCAGAAAGACCTGAAATTGGGGGTTGTGTGCTTTGACTTGTTCCAAAATCCATCAAATTAGAAAAATATTTGCCACTGAATACGCTTGTTCCCTGGCACGAGTCATAAACTCTGAGAACTTAAGGTACGGCAGACCCTGATAATATGTTTTAAGTGCAAAGAGAATGCAAAATACTGGAAAAAATAAAAAAAAGCAGATTCTGTAGGTGCTGATCAACTTCATGGCCCTTAAAAATTTCGCTTCCTGGCTGTGTGATGCCAGAGTTGGAGTGGGACCTCAGCTCCCTGTCACCCTGGTGTGGTGTGGCCTTTGATAGCAGATTCTGTAGGTGCTGAACAACTTCATGGCCATTAAAATTTCTGCTTCCTGGCTGTGTGATGCCAGAGCTGGAGCAGGACCTCAGCTCCCTGTCACCCTGGTGTGGTGTGGCCTTTGATCACCCTGGTTCATGCTCACACGGTGGGCGAGGAAGGAATAAATTAAATTAAAACACAAACCCACTGAATGTCCCAGAGAGTCCCAGAGCTCCCGTGGGGCATCAGCAGCTCCTGGGTGTTTTAATATAGAGATTAGTTACTGGCTGGAGCAAGAAGGGCAGTGGCAGGGGGTGAAGAGCAGGGACAGTCCTGGGGGGGGGTGGTGTGGCGACACCCCATGAGGCTGTAGGAGGTGACCCCGCTCCCTTGGTGGCTGTTTGTGGGACCACCGTGCTCCCCCAGCCCTCATTTCCCAGTACATCCCTCCCTCCTCCCATGGTGCAAGGCAAAAGCAGCACAGAAGTGAACGTGACTCCTTTTTTAATTATTTTTTTCTTGAAGTACTGTGCTAAAACCTGTTGGGAGTGGCCGGGTGTCACAGCTGGCTGATGCAAAACCCCCTCCCCTACTCCATAAACCCCCAATGTATGATTGAGGGGCTCAGCCCATGAGGGATTGGATGCCTGTCTCACTCAACACCTGGGGTACCTTCTCCTTTGCCAGCGGTGGCTTTTGGGGGAATTATTTGTTTCCCAAGGCAGCCAAACCTCAAGGGGGAAAACTTACCATCGGAATCTGTAAAACAAGGTTTGCGGGTTCCTCTTCCCCAAAAGCTGGGGGTGTGTGAGGCTGGTGGGGGTTGGAGATGGTGCTCGTGACGTCCGTGTGCTCCTTGTCCTGTAGCCACCTTGGCTGTCTCGTCCTCAGTGGTGTCTGTGTGGCAGTGTTACAAAAACGTGTGGTTTTAGCTGTGAATCTTACGCTGTCTGTGGATTTTGGCTGGTTTTTTACCTGCTTTTCTGATTTGTTAATGCTACCAAAGAGGCTATTGATTTTTTAATTTTTTTTCTTTAAGGACAGGTTAGTTTAATGTGACTGGGACCTTAGTTCCTAGTTTTCCCTTTAATCTTCTAATCTTACCTGGAATAATTTGCCCCTCATTTATATGTAATGCAGAGCTATTGCCTATTTTGCAGTCCTGGTAAGAGTCTTAAAACCTCCAACCGCTGCAGATAGTGGGCACCCGTTCAATGTGAAATGTTGCAAACTAATGACTGCTTTGTTTTATGGAACTGCTCCTCTGCAAAACAGACGTGTCTGTAGGCTGGGTTTCCTAGTACATCTTCCCATTTTTCATTTCTTTTAAACTTTTTTTCCATTTTTAGCTTAGCTGGCTGATTTTATTTTTAGGTCTGATGATGAACAGAGTTCAGCGGATAAGGAGAGACTTGCCAGGTAGGAGAATGGAGATTTCAAGCATGGACAAGCAGAGTTATTTCCTTTCCTTCATGTTTCTCTAGGCATCCCTTCTCTCTTTCCCTCCCCTCCTTCCCTCATCTGCTGCAGTAGAGGACTTCAAACCCAACAGGCTTCTGGAAATTGCTGTGTGGTTGGAATTAGGAGGGGAAAGGCATTTAGTCCCCGTGTGAGAATGTCTTTGGGGAATAACCTAGAGGATTTGTTTGCCAAAGGCTGCAGGGCAGAGCATGGTGGGGCCCTTGCTTTCACTGAGCACTGGAGCTTTGCTGACCTGAGCTAAATCCAGTTTCTCTCGTGCTGGGTCAAGGTGCCAAACTGGTCTCTCCTCCATGAGGTTTTGTCACGGCAACGCTGTTGGACTTTCAAAGAGACATGAAAAAGTGTGTTAGTTCAGGTTGTTTCTACCCCTTAAAACCTTCCAGGGGAGGTGGTGTCCTCTGCATGACGGTGATTTAGACGTTCTGAAAACAAGATTTATTATTTTCCCCCCTAAGTTCCTGTTTAACTGAGGGACTGGGGCTGAAAGGCAGCAGTCTGAGTGCTTTACCCTTGATGCAGAACCCCCCCGAGAACGCTGCATGCGGCTGCTGGAGCTGGGGCATTTTCGGGGGCTGCATTTCTCCAGCTCCCCACGGCTCCTTCCCCATTCCCTGCTGCAGAATAAAAACTGCTTGAAATCTCCAAGGTTTCTGTTGCTTGTTGCCCACGGCTCGTTACTGCCGCGGAGCTGAGGGTTGCTAATTTGTGAAGAAAAGCTCGTTTTGTGGCTTGTAGACTTACCCCATAACTTCTTAGGACTCTTCCACCCTGGGCTCCTTCTTAAGCAATGCACAGGACTAAAGTGACTGATGGGTGCCACCAGTGCTGCAATTCTGCTCAGTTTATTGCCCACTGGCTGGTTTTAAAACCAAAAAAAATCACCCCCAGATGCAGCCTTTCCCAACTGCAGCGTTGCATAGCTTAAATATTTGAGGAGATAAGGAAACCCTGGAGGTGGGGTCTGGAAAAGCAGCAAAGAACAGCACTTTTCAGGGGTTTCTCCCCCAGTGAGGTAGTGACCCTTTCCTTTGCCCCCCCCTGGTCCGTTGCTGCTGTCGTGCAAGAGCCTGTAGTAATGAATATTTGGCAAGTGGGGCAAGGAGAACGTCTGGTGCTTTCCCAGTAGCTTTTGGTAGTGAAGGTGGCTTCATTCTCACACTTGAGTTTGGAGAAACTGAATTAAAGGTGAGTGTGATAATTGAAGCCCTGCTTTTTGTGACTGTCAGTCTCTTGCAGCGAGGAGCAAGGCCGTTGAGTGGTTGCACACACCCAGGAGGGATAAAATGCTCCAGTTTTGTATTTATCCTCTTTAATTCACCTGCCTGTCCCTGTTCCTTCCAACACTTCCATCTTCTTCCATTTCCCACCACCTGCC